AGCTAGTGGGGGTTATACACCAGCAAATCGTGGCCCTACTAGTGGGGATTATACACTAGTATTCCTGTTTGCCTGCCAGTGGGAACTGGCCGTGACCTATAGAGGAGACGTCTATTTCGTGCCCGTACTGTATCCGTTTTTTGTGATTGCACTTGTTGGCATGCTATAAGTTTAATTAAGGGCAATCCATATTTTACTTACTGAGTTTATCTCATAGTTTTTCCTTGTCCACCATTTCAGGAAATGAAACCGAGGACGGGGAAACCACAGGAAGTGACGAGTTAGAAAGCTAGCCATTTCGAGATTGATATAGATTTTAGAAGTAAATCATGATCTTGTAAACCAGAGTGTATTTGGAGATTTTATTGGAGATTTATGATCGAGAAATCTTATAATTTGATCTTCAGATTTTGGTGGTATCAGAGTGTGATATGATAAGTTCCGAGCCTTGTGCATTTGTGGGACCCGTCTCACGAGTGCACGGCGTCTGTCGCGTCTCGAAATTGGGTTTTGGGGCGTGACAATAAATAAACAAGCCTCACCCATAACTCTAGATTCATATTTGGAGGCTTAACTTGAAAGCTTCTCTTTGAACACTTAGCTTTCAACTCACTAAGTGCATGCTTGAACTTGATCCTTGCTGTCACATTCCATAAATCGTTTACAATCTTATCAATCGTAGGATCCCATACATATGTTTGCTGAAAATAGTAGAAATATAAATAAATAAATAATTTAATAAAAAATATTAATGATAATAACAAAAAAATTCAAATTACTTAAAATTTGAAGATAGAAATTGAAAATATCTAATTTTTAGATAGAAATTAAGTGTTTAGGACGTACACTGAATATATTCCAATACATGTCCCAATGCACACAAAGGACCTATCCTCACGATGTGTAAACATCTGGGAGATTCTCCCACAACTGGACCACAATCTGTCGTCTGACCTGTTGTGGCAAACCATCATACTCATCTAGCTCTAATGGGATCTTCATCCCATCTATAGGCATCTACACGAGCTTAGCTTACCCCCATCCCTGTCTCTGCTGGGGAGTAGCCACAAGTGTATCCTCATCATTGAGAGACTCGGCCTGTATATCAATATCTGAAGCTGAAGTCTTCAGAACCACATCAATAGGAACCTCTTCCTAAACTCGTCTTTGGGGGTCAAATGGGTTTGGCCATTGTAGTGGTTGGGTGGATTCAACAACCTCCGTGCAGAAAGAACTACAGTAATCCACTATAAAAAAAATATAAAAAATGCAAAATAAATCATTAATACAAGTAATTTAAATGCAATAAATAAATTACTATTAATATCACAATAAAAATTAAAATAGTTTTAATTTATATAGATAAGCAAATAATAATCAAATTATATTTTAGTTGAATAACATACAGTATAACTAATATAAATAAAAAAATTATATAAATATTAACAAAAAAATATAAAATTAATAGTATGATAAAAACATAAATGTATAAATTTTATTTCAACTAATACAATTATAGAAGTATAAATAAGCAAATATTAACTTAAAAGTAATATTAACGTTATACACTTTTAAATTAAATAACATATAATACAACTAATATAATTATAAAAATACAAGCAAGCAAGTAGTAACCATAAATATAATAATAAGTTTCGATAGTTTCAATATTATTGCCTACTCATCACTACTATCATTCTCCTCAACATATGTTTCTATGTTTTCTTCTTCTGATGTCTCAAAATCTTCCCATTCTCCTTCTTCATCCTCTTCCCCAATCCCCTCCCCAACATCAACTTCTTCATGTATTTCAATAAACCTCCCGTCAGAATATTGCACAGGTTCATAAGCAATGTCATCAATATTTATTTGTTAAGGAATAAGAGGCTCATTGTCTTGGAAATATGGTGTCAATCCGTCTTATCGGTCTTCTTTATTCTCAGGAGCCTCAATAATACTCCTAACTTTAATTTTAAGTGCAGCAATCCATCCCTTTCTTTCATGATTAATAGATGGGTATGGTGTGTAATAAATCTCCCTTGCCTAACTAGCAAGAATGAAAGGCTCATAAGATCGAAGGTATCTTCTAGGATTAATGTCAACCAATTGATGTTTTTGATCCACTTGAACCCCTTTAGCAGGAGGAATCTCGTACCAATCACATTTGAATAAAGCAATTGCCTGTTGATGGATCGATTCATAATACTTAATCTGAATTATTTCTTGAAGCACACCATAAAAATTATAATTTGATTCAGTACCAATATATCTAACAATATAGACACCATAATTCATTGTTCGCTTATTTCAACCATAAAGGGTAGTGTGAAATCGGAATCCATTGACAATATATCCATTATAGCAAGAAACAGAATTTTTTGGATCGCTGGATAAACCTTTGATATGCTCATGGACATTAATGAACTCATCATTAATTACCCAAAATATATAGATTGCAGAAGAAAATGTTGGATGCATTTGAAGAGAAATAACATATATATGTTAAGGAATTGAATAGTCATATTATTAAATACTCACAGCTTGTTCAAACTAGGGCACAAGGTCTCTCTCTCATTTTGCTTGAATTTGTTGAGGATTAATATTTTGACATTGTTCTCTGTCAAATAAACTCGAAAATATGATAATAGTTTTTTTATATATTGTTAGTATTTTAATTTCAATAAATTTTAATATAGCAAATTAAAGATGTTAGTGTAGGTTTTTTACTTGACCCATCCTCGCAATTCATTAACACATAATACAAAGCAGCATTGCGTTCCTCTATCGTCAAGAAACGTCTTCCAATTTTAGAACCAATACGTTTTACAACACATTTAAAGATGGATAAGCCACTATTATCACCAAATCCAACAACAATATTCCTAGGAGGATTATCAACTGTACTATGTACTCTATCATCAAAGTAATGAGAGATAAAATTTGTGATCTTAGACATTATGTAACTTTCACATATGGATGCTTTAGGACACGCTTTGTTTTTCACTATCAACTTAAGACAATGCATTCGCCTGATTCACCAAGAATTATTATATAATTATGTTATGATTAAAATACTAATTTGGTACCTCAACTTCTAAGTTTATATCAAATATACCCTCAAAATTTAAAAAAGTTTCAAAATGGTCCTTTCAAGGACCATTTTGAATTCTTTTTTAAGTTCAATGGTAGCTTTGATATAAAATTGAAAGTTGAAGTACCAAATTGGTATTCTAACCTCAATGCAACAAAATATCATATATAGAGTTATATTTATTTTCATACATTATACATTAATTATATTTACCTCTCAAATGGATACATCCATCCAAATTGCACCGATCCTCCTACACGAGCCTCATATGGAAGATGGATTGCAAGATGCTCCATACTGTCAAAGAATGAAGGTGGAAAGATTCACTCTAACTTACAAATGATTTCTACTATCCTCTCCTATCATATTGCCATGTCATTAACTTGAATCACCGGAGCACACAAGGCACTAAAGAACTCACTAATCTCAACAAGTGGTTCCCAAACTTGTTTCGATAATAAATCACGAAATGCAATTGGTATAAGGATTTGAATGAAAATGTGACAATCGTGACTTTTCATACCATATAATTGTGCCTCTTGTGTATTGACACACCGAGATATATTGGAGGCAAATCCACCAAGGAATTTAAGTCCCTTCAACCATTGACATATTGATTTTCTTTGATCCCTACTAAGAACATAAGTGGCCTTTGGCTTTTTACTCGAATTCACTCTTGTTTTCGGTATGTGCAAACTTTTTCTTTTACAATACAATTCCAGATCAAGTCTTGCATTTATTTTATCTTTTGTCATATAGTCATCCATTACTGTATGAAGGATATTTTCAAAAAAGTTTTTCTCACATTGCATGACATCTAAATTGTGTCAAATCAAGTTTGTGTGCCAATATGGTAATTCCCAAAAGCTGCTTTTTTTAACCTAATTATGCACTTCACCAAATCCGTGGATTTCCTGTTTCTGAGGTGGCTTACCAAATAGTACATTAGGTAGCCAATGGATGCGACTACGCATATCATCACTAGACAATCTCTCTAGCATTGTTCCATTCTCTGTACGATCTTTTATAAAGTCATTCTTGTTTCTTCTAAATGGATGATCCGGTGGCAAAAACTGTCGGTGATAATAAAAAAATGGTGTCTTCTGACCATGTTCCAACCAAAAGGCCTTCAAATTTTCCATGCAATAGGGACAAGCTAATTTACCATGTGTGCTCCACCCAAACAACATTCCATGCCTAGGTAAGTCACTAATGGTCCACATAAGTGCAGCCCTCATTAGAAAGTATTGACGCCTAAAGCTGTCATAAGTTTGGACTCTAAAATACCAAAGTTACTTTAAATCATCGATTAGTGGTCGAAGAATTACATCAATATTCTTTCTAGGACTTTAGGGACTTTGGATAATCAATGAAAGGAATACATATTCTTGCTTCATGCACATTGTTGGAGGTAGATTATAAACTGACACAAATACTGGCCAACAAGAGTATGGAGATGCAGAATATCCAAAAGAAGTGAACCCATCAGTGCACAGAACTAACCTAACATTCCTCAGTTCACTAGCAAACTCAGGGTGAGTGCTATCAAAATGCTTCCACGCCTCTCCACATGTAGGAGGAAAAATTTTCTCATTTTCATTATAACAATTTAAATGCCAGGTCATATGCTCTGTAGTCTTCCTAGACATATACAATCTCTGAAGTCTAGGAATAATTGGAAGATACCACAAAGACTTTTTTGGTATAGGCTTAGCAAAATGCACATCACGCTGCTTAAATCGTGGCTCTTCACATACCAAGCACTATAAATAACACTGACTTTCATATTTTCCATAATACAAAATGCAATTGTTCACACAAACATCATACTTTTTATACTTGAGACCCTGATGCCTCAACATCTTCTTGGCACTATAATAATCTGTTGGCAATTTCTCCCTATCAACTTTTTTGAAGGTCATTAGACTACACTTTAGCACATAGTCCCAATTAGTAACACTCATGTTAAAAAGTGTTTTTGCACTCATGAGCTCACACACCCATTTTAACACAGTGACAGCATCATCACACCCTTCAAAAAGAGGTGTATCAGTTGCTCGCAAAAGATCAAAGAACTCTTTTGCATCTCCTCTTAGCTCCTCAAATATCGATTCTGTACTGACACCATATAGATTATCAAAACTAGTATCAAATTGTGTTGCATCTTCTACCCCTGTGACACTTTTTTCATTATTAAAAAAATTTGGTGCCATGGCATCATGAAGCATGTCTCTAAGTTGATTGACACTTGGAACATTATTCATAGTAGCAGTAGCAGCGGCGGCACTTGATGATTCACCCACTTGGGTGCAACGCCATTTTCTATGAATAATTTCTCCACGTCTTTTCCAAATAAAATACCCATCCATGAAGCCGTTCATAATAAGATGAGATTACACTTTGCGTTGATGATGCCATTCTCTGTTCCAACACTTATTACACGGACATCGAATCATATTCTTTGCACAAAACATTGAGTCTGTTTGTGAGAATACCAAATCTAAGAAAATCTCTACCCCAACATTAAATTCATTGTGCCAATACCCCATTTCATCTCGATGATGATACATCCAACTCCAATCTTCTCCCATAATTAAGTAGTACACGCCTTAGAAATTCAACAATATCATAAAAACAAGTACTAGAATCATAAATATCAATTTTGTTCCATCAACTTTATGATTTTATACAATTTTCATCCCTCAACTTTTTTTTGCTCATATTGGTCCTTTAACTATGAATAATGTACATTTTTAGTTCTTCTGTCAGTTAAGTTTCTTTAGCACATTGATAAAAGGATTAAAAATGTAAATTACTCATAATTGAGGGACCAAGATGAGCAAAAAAAGTTAAGGGACAAAATTATGTAAAATCTTAAAATTGAGGAATAAAAATTAGCATTTATCCTTTTAAAATTACATATGCTACAATAATACATATAATTACATTTTTAACCAACTAAAAATCTACCTAATTTAATTCATCTTTATAATTAATTAAACAATTATGAAAGTTAATTTGTTATACACTAATTATTATCATTTAATTCTATAAAAAATAAATGCAATAAGTAAAAAGGTTGTTAAAAATTTCTAATTATTA